ACGTTTCCAGTTACCTTCACTCTACAATATGGTCCAATAAACGGCAGGCATACTTTGTCTTCTAAGTAAAGTTCTCGAGGTTATTGATTATTTTTGATTATTTTTGTATAGTGAATATAAACGTTCTTTCGAATTGAAAAATGGCTTTTACAGTGATTTTTTATTGGTGAAACGTTACGTTCCCAAAAAGTACTTTAAAGTGCATAATAAGTAATGTTAAAAGTCCGGTCCGAGTCGGTTTTTTAGAGTCTCAACTTGCATTTCACGTGCAACTTGTATAGCACTAAAAAAAAAAATGTGTGCGCATGCAAATATGCATGAATACTGTTCAAGATGCATGTGAAATACAAGTAAGTTCCAAGTCTGACTTGGAACCGAACTTTAATAAAGTCTTAACATCTCTATAAATAAAGTTACCCGGGCAACTGATTTACATCGATTATGAGGTCCCTGACTAAAACAGGGCAGATCCGTAAAAATTAACCAATCAATAACAAAAGCTAATAGCTATATAAAATTTCTATTTACGTACCAATTACGCAATGTTTACTTTCTCTAAAAAAAAAAAAAAATGGTAAAAATAAACACCCAAAAAAATAGTTTTTTAAAATTAAAATTTCATCGTTTCTATCATTTCAAGAGCACTTCCAGTTCATTTCAACCACTTCTCTATTGGATAATGAAATACGAGAAAAATATATTCACGAAAAAATTTAACAAAAATTTTCGTAACATCTCCCTCTGCATAAAGACGAGCTTCCTCAAGTGTGTGCGGCCCGTTTTCGCCTATTTCCGATAGACATATTATCTCGAATATAATAAACTTATAGATCCTGTTGTTATCGGCATTGGAGGTTTCGGAAAGGTTCTTAAATACGAATGGATTAATGGAACCCAATTGTTTAGCTGTGATGGCATTGGAGGTTTCGGAAAGGTTCTTAAATACGAATGGATTAATGGAACCCAATTGTTTAGCTGTGTTGGCATTGGAGGTTTTGGAAAGGTTCTTAAATACGAATGGAGTGACAGTGAATTAACTATCGCTGCTTCCTCGTGATATCGACGCTATTTTAATCACCTCTTCGATTAATGGAACCCAATTGTTTAGCTGTGATGGCATTGGAGGTTTTGGAAAGGTTCTTAAATACGAATGGAGTGACAGTGAATTAACTATCGCTGCTTCCTTCAAATTCTTCGGGGGCATTGGAGGTTTTGGAAAGGTTCTTAAATACGAATGGAGTGACAGTGAATTAACGATCGCTGCTTCCTTCAAATTCTTCGTGACATCGACGCTGTGATTTGCAGGCGCCATGTACCTGTTACGTAAGTACTTTGTACCATTAGAGATGGAATCGAATATATATATATATTTACTAGGTTAGGTTTTTTTTTATTAGAATAGTTTTTTATTTTTTTGTAGAATAGTCTTTTTTTTAGTTATAATAGGTTTTTTTTTTTTTTTTGTTAGAATAGATTTTTTTTAGAATAGATTTTTTATTGAAATCGATTCGCATCACTATGTAAGTGTACATAAGTCAGTGATAAGTTGTACGCTCGGAGTACTTTTGCAAAAAAGGAAGGAAGGACCCTTTGCTAAACCTGGTTAGCATCGACCGTGTGTAGTGAGTCTACCAACGTTCTCTGCATTTAGCTATTTCAGATTTCTTTAAGAGATCTACTATTCCAAGAGGCGCGGCTATCTCGCAGTTATGCACCTTCTCTGTAAATAAGAAATCTGGTTCACAATTAAAGACGGGAGTTCATGTATCCAATCACAACTTGGGAGAAATTAGGGCTCCCCTTATAATTGTGCTTCATTTCAACCGACTTTTGACAATTATCAAAGTTTCCTTTTCGACTTCCATTCTATTAGATAGTAGTGGTTGTACTCTTTATCCGAAAGGATATAATCTTAATAAAATTTAATAACTGGTTTTATATCTTATTATTAAAGTAAAATAATAATGGTTATATCCGAATATGTAAGTTATGAAATTATTCCCTCGAAAATTGCATCAGTGTTTTGAAGTTAGAAAAATGGTAGATCATTGTTTGAAGCTTTGGGTGATAATAGTAATTTAAGTTGAAGTCATTAAGAAGCTTTGACTTAGTAATATTCGATAATATTGGCGAAAATTTATTTAATCGTTCACACGAAATTATTTACTAAAAAAAACTTTTTTTTTAAAAAGAAAATCTTAGTCTATATGTAATCATTGCGAAAATAATATTTGAGAAGTAATTTATTTTGATTGGCTGATATAAATCAATTGCCCGAGTAACTTTTAAGGATGTAAATTACATAATCAAAAAAATCGTCGCATACATCATTTCTAACTTCAAAGAAGTGCTAGGAAGTTAACACTAAAATTAATCTTTTATAATCTCTTAGAGAAGTTGGCTTAGGCGCAACTTTCTGAACCAATAAAGAAAAAAAAGGCTCTGTCTTAATTTTAACACGCATCAAAAAAAAAAAGTTAGGCCATGCAAAATTAATTGATTGGTTTTCATAACCCGGCCGGGTCAAAATTTGAAAACTTCAAAATATAAATTTTATAAAATTTTATATATGAATTTAAAAAAAAAAAAGCCGGCCGGCCGGGTCTATTTAAAAGTTTCATGTTATGAAAACCAAGTAATTAAATTTTTATGGCCTTACTAACAAATAGCTGGTTTTTTTTTTTTGAGATTGAAATTTCACGCTTGGTTTCGAAGCAAAATAAGCTTGTTAGCGGTGTTAGTAATAAGAGATCCAAGTTTAAGGCACTCTTAAATTGGTTTGATTTTTAAGTTTGGGTTTATATAGATCATAGATATAGGTTTGGATAGTTAGATTAGTAAGTTCTGGTTGTTTTAGTAGTTGAACACCGCTTTTGCTCCTCTTTACACACATATATATATATTATATATATATGTTGTAAGTGCTTCAATAACAAATAAAAATTGTGTAATTGATTGGTTAATAATCACATGTAGATCTGCAAATCGATCTAAAAGACTATCAAATATCGATATATGAACGTCAATATCGATATATCGCATTTAAAAAAATGATATTCCAGTGCGAAGATGCCGAGTCACGCATCGCTTTTCGTTTAATAAATCAACACCTCGTCGAGGATTCAATTAGGCTGATGTCAATGTGTCCGACAATGGATTTACTCGCCGTTTGCACCGAGTCGGGATGTGTTTGGGTAGCGAGGTGGTATAATGCCTTAGAAAAAATTTGGACTTTACCACCTAGTCAAGACGGTGAAGAAACCGTTGAAGCTTTCACTTGGAGGCCTGACGGTACATTCTCCTTGTTTTAAGAAAGGGATTTTTTCAACATGTTAAACTCGTCTTAATTTTTTAGGAAAAGTTATTGCTATCGGGTATTCAAACGGAATAATACGACTTTATAATGTGGATAAATTGGAAATGATTCATGAATTATTCCAAAAACCACTTAAATCACCGTCATCAAAATCATTTGCAATAAACTTTCTTTTTTGGGTACAGGAAACCAAAAAAGATTCTGAAATTATAAAGTATGGATAACTGGTCAATCTATTTCTTTCCTGAATAGTTATTGAATAATTTTTTCAAATCAGTGACGCGACAAATGACTTTTCAATGAGTGCCCACCCTGTTCAGAAATATTTGCCTCGACTAAACACTATGCCACATGCCAAGCCAATTAGGTTAGCTATTCATGTACTTACAAATATATGTCAATTTTCGAGATCACATTAAAAATGTTTAATATAATAATAATATCACTACAAATATTAGCAAACTCTTAGGTGATTTAAATGAATCCGACGAAGACGATTTAGATGATCGGTCGTCCAGTTCAATTGATCTGCTTTTGGCAGGTGATACCGGAGGAAATTTACATTTGAGGTGGATCTTCTTTTCTCCTTTATTCTGTAGAAATAAAAATTTTGATATTATGGCCAGAAATAATTAAATCGACGCGAGTATGTTGATCCAGCGTATACGGAATATATAATTTACAACCAATATCTTTATCTCAGCATATTCAATTAAAGGTTGGTTTTATTGAATATAAAAATATTTTTAATTCTGAAATTTTAATATTTATTAAATTTGACTTAATGTAATTGATAGAATGCGACAATAATAGAAGCATCTGTTACGCCAGATCTTTCTCTCATAACTTTGTTAATACGGACAGACGATTGTTCTACTTCCTCTGCAAGCACTGGCTTCCATAAAGATCGTTTATTTTTCGTCACGTTTAATACGGGCTTATTATACACGCAAAAACTTGAAATTCGTACTTTATCTCAAAGATATACTGCAATCAAATATTTGACTGATTATATATTCAAAGGAATCAAACAAATTGAATCAGAATATCAAGATCTGAAATTTTTGACAAATAAATTTGTTGAATCCTTTCAAGAGGTATTGGAAACAAATAATGGTAAACAAATTACATATGAAATATCTCAAATATCATCGATTTATACCTATAAATAATTATTATACGAATTGATGTAAGGAAGCAAAATCAAAATTGTCAGCAGAGTTTGTCCGATTGTTAGCTACTGGGAAACCAAGTGCTTTATTAGACGAATACATGGAATCGCATCTTACAAAACGGGTATATAATCTATTTCTTATGGTATCAATTTGTTTTTTTTTTTAGAAAATAACATATTTTTGCTTATAATTTTCCCTCCTTTTTTTAATAAACACTAGGCATTGAAAGATTGGGAGAGCAAGGGCCAGAAAACATTTGATCGAATTAGAGAATATATTAATCATTATGTGCGTATAGGGTGTGAAAGATTAATTATAGAATTAAATGCATTAGTTGGATATAGTAAATGGTATAAAATTTTTATTGAAACTTTGGAATAATTCATGCTCCAAATTCTTTCCTGATAGATCATTTTTAATTTTAGGCCTCAAAAATTCCAAAAGCTTGGACTCAATGAGTCATTTATACATTCATGCGTGATCTTGGCTGGATGTATAATTTCGCGATTGGAAAAATTAAATTCAATTATTGATGAAGAATACATAAATTTTCTAGAATTTCATCAATGGCTCCAATTTGGTAAGTGCTTTTAAGGTCATTTCGTGCGATCATATATTATGTGAATGATGTACTCATAATATAATTATGCTTTAGAATTTGATAATATAACATCTCTCGAACAAAGCACTAATCCTGAAGCTTCACCTCGAGTAGATGTTCACAAAGTCTCTTCATATATAAAAAATTCACTTGGCAAAGATTTCTTAAATAATTTAGAAAAGTTTTTCGTGGATGACCAACAATCTTCGACTATATCATTACCTTCTTTTGAATTTTCATTTTCATGTAACTCCTTAGATAATTGTGACCTTTTTCAATATAATTCATCTCAAAGTAGCGAGTTGCCAGCATATCCATATGATTTCCTTTCATCCAACAATGCATTTCAGCGCGCTCCAAGTTTTGAATCTTTTGTTACCGAATTAATTAATCGATGTGACATCCTATCTTCTACAACTGCTGATAATGTTGCAAAATCCGTTAAGGCACATGAACTCGTGGATATAGTCGAAGGCATTAATTATTGTATTGATAATATATTTTTGGCAGATATGAAAATCGTAACTGAGGTATGAATGAATCCCTGACATTTATTCTGGTCTTTAAAGATTTAAGGTCTTAAAAGGTTTTAAAGATCTTGACGCTTCATAATAATTATACCTTTAGGGTTTGGCGACAAACGCATATGTAATATTTTATTTATCACAAGATCGTAACGTTTCTCCAACATGTAAGCTTTATGTTTTTCAATCTTACCATATACTTTAGAATAATAAATTAATCTATGACATTTAAAATCTAAGTATGGGTCCTCCGATTTCCTCTGTATACAAATACTTCCAAAAGCTATACACCATCTTTAAAATTTGCAGATAACTTCTCTAGAAGTAAAAACGGCGATATTGCTTGTATCCAGTTAGTGAATAATGAACATCCCGAAGAATACTTGTCGATTACAGATCTAAACCTTTATGATGATGAAAAATTATATATGACTGTTGTCGGATCAGAGAACGGTAGTTAACAATCCTATACGTTGATTTCCTCAATAAATAATTTCATAACTTATATAATTATTATTTATGCAACTTGAAGATGAGCCAATTCTCTTGTCGGAAGTGAAATATACAGAATTGAATTTTATATCAATCCCAGAGCCATATGACCTACAATCTACAAATGAATTCAAGTTGCCGAATGTTATTAATCAAGTGCTGGATCGAATGGTATGACACTTCAAATATTTATTAAAGAATTAATTGTTTCAAATATTGGAATTAATTAACACTTTTTACCTCTTAATAACTAATATACTGCTTAAAAAGCGTAATGGAAATTTTACACCACTTTTAGTTCAACGATTTCGTGATCTTACCTATTTTAAACCATTACAACTAACTACGAACGGGGCAAGAGGGTTAATTGGCGCTCTTAGTAATGATAAGAAAAGTATTATCATATTTGATGCTAACGAAGAAGATGTATATGATATGAAAGATGACGATGAAAACATTAAAATGATGGAAGAATAATAGATTAATAAATTACTAATTGCAGTAGGGAGAACTCTTAAATACTTTTTATTATGATTTATATAGCCTTTTTTTAGTCATGATTAGATCGAAATTATAGTGTAAATTAATAAAAAGACAAATTCAATCAGTTGTTTGGGTGATCCCTAATTAACAATCAAGGTTCGATTCAATGGTAAATAGTGAAGTACATCTACGTTTTTTAAGTTGATAACATAAAGTTTCGTATATTAAGCCAAAGGAAAATCTGCTATTTGTAAGAGGAATTATTTAAATTAAGACATCATAATGTATAATTTAAAAAGGATGGCCCAAAGAATATGTACTTTACAACACAGCATTAAGATAAGTGAGATAGTTTACTCGATCAATCGAGCTTGTCATTAAGATAAGTGAGGTAGTTAATTACGTGAAAGAAAAATTTTAAATAATAAAAAATGATCAGTGAGTTAACCATTTCAGTCAAAAAACTTTTTTCCCTAAACCACCTTTTTTTCTGCATTGACCTCTCAAAATTTTATAAAAATTAAAATGAATAAAGTATTCTTCATGCTTTTTATTATGGATTTTCATAATCGACACACATTCTTTGCAAAATTTTCGATAAACTATTTAGAATCATCTCAAGCAGTAGTTGGGATCTTTTATTTTGATCTATCGTTGCAATTGAGCATTACTACAATTATTAAAAAATCACAGTAATAGTAATGTTTGAGCATATGGGGTCTTGCCTTGAAAATGACCTTATGGGACTATGTAGATTTTATGAATAAAAATTAAAATTTCTAGCCATCTAATGATCCAAATAATTTTTTTTTATTTTGTAGAACTCACTAGGCTCTACAAATAAAAAAAAAGTTTATTTGAATTGGATTACTGGATAGTTAGAAATTTTTATTCATAAACTCTACATAGTCCCGTAAGGTCATTTTCAAGGCAAAGACCCCATATTTCACATTCGTATTTATTGACTTTATTCAAAATGTTATGGCAATAGCTAAAATTATACCATAATACTTGTGCACCATTTCAATCACTATAGGTTGATGCTTGAGAACAACCTAAGTATCACGTTATCACGTGATCCTATCTGATTGGCCGATCACCCTGGCAATTGCGGTAATTTTAAAAAAACTTTTTAAAATTTTAATAGTAAAATGGACGATTTTTAATACTCACCGGAGGTGAAATTCATCGGGGTGCTATATCTCAAAAACGTACGGGATCGGGTATTCTAAGTATAAATGTTCAGGACCCTCGAAAACCTCACGAGAAATGAAATCGAGACCTTATATTATGTTATAAAAACTCCTCTATTTTAAAACTGCTCCCTAACTCTAGGCTGGCGAATTTCACCTCTGGTTAAATCTAAATTATTTCTGGTAAAATCTAAATTATTTCTAGTAAAATTAAAAAAATTGATTTTATTAAAAATGTAATATCTTTGTCAAAATTAAATATAAAATAATAAATTTTAAATATGAACCAATTAATGAAACAAATATATTTAATTTTTACTTAATATAGGGGGAAAAGCTTAAATAAATTTCAAGAAATTTAAAAAAAAACTTTCTAAAATTCATTTTAGCGGGCGGGATAAACTTAAAGATTCGGTTTTTTTGTTTTTGTACTAGGGGGCGGAGAATCGTCCCAGTTTTGAATAAGAATAAAAGGAACGTCAGGATTATTTTCGTATTTGGTATTATTATCTACATCGGTATCACTGGGTACAACAATTAATATAGGCGCATTATTTCGTGAATCATTATGTGAATCTTTGCTTCCTGGCTCAATCTTATCATCTAACGTAAATTCTTCAAAATCATTTTCATTGACATTATCATATATATTATTATTAGAATATGGTTGAAGTTTTGCAAGTGCGTGCACCAGATCATCAGCAAGAGTGATAGAATTTGGATGGTCTTCACGACTTTGAATCCAACCAACTGGTGGTGACCCTGGTGGTGAAATGAGCAAATTTTTTTCGAACTCTGGAACCTTCAAAAGCCGTGTGTTGTCAGTTTCATACATTTTACTTGGAGAGAATGGCATAGCTCATGTAGTTTTTGGCGGCGCGAAGATCGAGGTTTGATGGTTGGATTTTGGGGTTTGGGTTGGTCCAAGATATTTAATTTATCCTCGTTTCGATCTATCTGGTGCTTCTGAATGTAGGTGGCTTAAAAAAACAGCAAGATTAATGAGTCATGCAATGGATATGACCTTGTTATCGTTTTTTCTATTTAGAGTAGTTTTGTACTTAGAAAATAGTGATACAAATTCTTTTTTTAAGGGTCGTCTAGAGTCATGTACTTTACCCACGTGATCAATTACGTAGATCAATAATCAGAAAATTCCCATTTTATAACTTTTAGCGTTAGCGACAATATCTTAGCAACCACCCAACCAAATTCAATAAACACAGATCAGAATTAAAATAAAAAAAATTTTGTTGGTGGTTACTGAGATGTCTTCGCTCAAAATTTTTTAAAAAATTCAAACGCCTATCAATAGAGTTCCTATCCATTATGGATATCCGGATGAATTCAGATATGGATAAATGGATGACGGATTTATCCGGATTGGACCTCTACCTATCAAAATAATTAATAGCTGCCGCAACAAAATTGTCACGGCAGATCCTCAATTTTGGCCCGCATTATATAATTGTTTACTAATTTCCGGCCGGAATTAACTTTTTGACCTTTTCATTACAAAAATAACAGTATCAGAGTGTAGGAGAACTTATTCACACATGTGATAATTGACCAATGATTTAATTATAATCAATATAATATAACACAATCAGGAATAAATCTTTCAAATCAATTATTATTTTTTTTAAAAAAATAAACATGTTTTCATTATCTTCAAATATATATAGTACAATATATAGTGTAAATAAACTTTTTAAAAATAAAAAAAAAAAACTTGTAAAAATAAGTATAGTAAATTAAAGAATATAGAATTATATTATTGTTACAATGCTATAGCCTTCTTAGTATAATTATAGCAAAGTAACAAGATTACTCAGTTCAGTGTTATACTTTATAAATATATATAAGATGGACATGAAGTATATACTTTTACTTCATAACAAGAGGCAAACAGTTCAAGATAATAACAGTTTATAGATAATAATATTTATTAATAACAGATTCATAGTAACAATTAGTACTTGGCAAAATCAAACAAAAACTCAATTATTGAGTTTTTAAATTTATCAATTTACAATATTAAGAATTAAATACAAATTTTATTTTTAGTATATATATAAATCTAACAGGAATCTGATTTTACTTTAGTTTCTATAGTAATTAACATGAAGTTTAAAATCAAATTAGAGTAAAAATAGATTTTATTTATTTTTTTTTTTGATATTAAGATAAGATCTTGCTCGTATCTTTATTTAGTAATTTATATAAGTAATTATATAAAGCTATATAAAAACTTAATTTTATACTAACAAATAAATATAAATTACATGCAAAAATAAAAGCTTAAACTAAATTATTTGCGATCTAAACCTATTAGAGTGATCAAAACTTATCTAGATTTGAATAGTTAAAATATGGTTAATAGATATACTATATTTAATCTACATAGTAGATCAAATATCTAGCTTTAGAGAAGCCTGTTCTAGAAGAAAACAAGTATTGAATTCAGAATATAAATAATTAGCAAAGCTACAAGAACAGCTAATAGTTGATATTATTCTGTTTTTTCTATGATTTTAGGATAAGGGTGGGGACATTTATCACCTGATTTTTTAGGGTAGGGGGGGGGTAAGACCAAAATCAGGTGCTATATATTATTACTTAGATCGACCAATCAGATGACTCGATATAAATATGTATTGGATATCGATATCTGATCTTTCGCGCTATAAGTTTTATAGTTTCAAAGCCTGTACATAGATCTAGTACGAACGTACAGTACATGCGTACATCCTACATAGTATACAGTATAATCGTTTATTTATAAAAAAATATTCTTTATACGTACGTACATATTCTAAACTATACACGTACATATTCTAAACTATACACGTATAACAAATACTACTAATACTAGATTTACTTCATTTCTACAATCTTGATAAACTGGAATTTGAAATTAAAAATAAATCGAAAGTAATTTTTATATTAATTTATTTTCAATTCAAATTACCTTTTAACTACATATTACTTACCATTCTAAAACCTTATTCTGAGATATAATCAAGAGCAACACTTACAGCGATAGATTCGTGATCTGTTATTCCAAGTGAAGATGAAAGCATAGAAAAGTCTTCGACAATAGCCGAATTTGTTTCAAACTGTCTGCCTGATCGTCTACCCCGGGGACTAGGATGTGCAAATCTTCGATGTTTGGTAAGAAAAGTAATTGTTGGAAAATATTTTTTGCAAAGGGTACAACAGTGTCTAGTATGATTTTCTGAAGAAAGAGACGGAAGGTGAGCATCATATAATGGTATTTTAATAGAATCAAAATATTCTAAAGTGTGAATCGAGTTTAAGTAGTGGCCGTCCATTCCTTTAATTAATGGGGGCAAAAACCCATTGTTTATGCTTAATAATGCTGCAGCCTCTTCAACCCGTTTAGGAGAACAGCATGATAGATCGTTACATTTTCGGATATCCAGAGAATATTGACATATGTTGCAGTGATTTTCGATCCAAGACCATGTTACAGATAAATTATTATTGGTTTCATTATTATCCTCATTATTTTCTTCATTATTTTCCTCACTATTTTTCTCATTTTGTTCAACATATTCGGCAAAAACTGGCTTTCCATAAATAGAGTCTCTTCGCCACAAATTAGCAAGGGTTTGGCCAGCGTGGCGAAAATTTTGAAGCCCAAGCTCATAGTTTTGTACATTTCCTTGAGAATCCAAGTGATTTCCAAAATGATCAATTGGTAAAGTAATCCCTGCAACTTTTCTAGACAACGATGACATACTTCTTTCTACTGGATTAAATGCCGATTGGCCTGGAGCGTGAGTACGAATTGTTAAATAATCTAAATTTAAATGATGAAACAATTTACAATATTGAATGATATTTTTGAAATGCCGCGGATTTTCATCCGGCCCACCATCAACCAGAAGGACCCACAATGGTTTAACCTCATTCTTATACTTGAAAACCCTATTAAACCTTTCATTAGCTACCAACGACAAGACGTCTGTCATGTGCGTAGCAGAAGAAGAACCAAGGTGCCACTGTGCTCTAATAAAAATTGCAATTTGACCAACTCGTAACGATTCGTCAGTTTCCTTTGGATTAATCATCAAATAGACAGATGGTACTAATTTTTGGGAAGATCCTATTGGAAAATCATGATCAGGTACTGACACTGGCTCAAGAACTGTTTGCATTGTCTCAAAATGTCTTCCTACAGCGGGGATGCCAACAGATACTTTTGCTTTGTCGTCTTGCGATAGTATAACAGATTGATCAGCAAAGGCAAAGGCAAAGTTTTTAGCATTTTTTACCGACGCCAAACAATAATGCCCGTCAACATGATCATTTCTTTCATTCCGGCTAACTCCTGCAATTAAGGTTGTGTTACGAAATTTACAATCTTACAATACATGTAATTTTATGTAAGTTTCAGTGAATTAGAGGTAATATAATTTCATTGCATTATACAATCAGATCTCTCTAAATGCAAATCGTTGGGACAGAACTTTTAATAACATGTATTTAGGGAACAATAAGAAAAATTGCGTTTATGGAAGTTAGAAATTAGTACTCTGCAAATCAAATCACAATTTGAATTTGAATTGATTTTGCGAAGTACTAAGTTAGAAATATAGGGTATTTGGGCCAAAATGTAAGGTTAAATTTCGAGAGGTATTGCATTTAGGGGGGGCTGCATTTAGGGAGGTCTGATTGTATATAAAGCAATGGCTTTCAAAAGTTCGTCTTACTGATTATATGAAAACTAATTCACCGATGTAGAGTTAATACTTGAATCCGGATTTAATCATTTATATCCGAATTTAATCATTAAATCCGGATTTTAATCATTAAATCCGAATATAGTTATTAAATTCGAATTGAATTATTAGATCTGGATTTAAATATGCAGGCACATTACTTTTGTCTACTCACAAATCTGTTTTAGATATATAGTGACAATATTAGATACATTGTTAAATCTGGATCTAACAATTAAAATCCGGATTTAACAATTAAATCCGGATTTAATGATTAAATCTGGATCCAAGTGTTAACTCTACACCGAAGCTTACCACAAAATTACGATAATTTTTTACAACTCTACCTGCAATTCCAACTAAAGCTGGATGGTGATGAGCTCTTGCTGAAAGGGTACGATTATTTCGGGGTAAAATGTAATTTCGTGTAGTAGTACGTGATAAGTATTCATTATATTTTTCTTCTAGTGAACTACGAAGGTGATTAATAGTTCTAACTTTTATTATTTCACGCCGCCTTTGGGCATCAGCCTCTCCAAATTCGATACAAGAATGTATATGGTCGTGTAGATCAGGGTATTGATAAAGTAGGGGGGGACGGCCGAGAGAATTATACCTTACAACCAATTGTTGTTTTTCAAGCAATTTTTTTTTTTTTTCCTGAGATTTTCTTTGACTTGCCGCGTGTCTTTTTAAACTTTCTAACCGAATATCTTGAGCTCTAATGCTTTCTTTTATATCAGAAATTTGGGAAGAAAATCTTCTATGATACTCAAGATTAGTAGTAATCCTTGCCATAGATTGTAACTCATCCAATTCCTTTTCCAACTCTTTTTTTTTGGTGGATGCTTCCTTTTGTGCCACGGCATTGTAATGGATTGGTTCGTCAAATTTTTGTGCCAATGACGATGACGACGACGATGACGACGATGACGATGACTGGGATGGTCTATTTGGAACATATGTTATACATCCTCGCAATTGTACTGGGGTATTTAGATATCCACATATTTTATCCTCAATTTCTTCTTTTGAGAGTTTTTTAGCTAAATCCCATTCATTGTTGCATTCTTCACATAAGACTTTTTTATCAAGAGATGGAGAGCCCAAGGAAGCCATCTTATAATATGCGAATGCATTAGTAAATTTATGATAAGTATTTTGAGGATTTTTATATATATATTGTTTATTGAAAGTTGGAGTAGAAAGGAATGTTTGCATTTTTGAATGTTATTTAATTTTATTGTGGTAATTTACTGCTCAACAAAACAAAAAGGCCTTTATAAGAATTTTTTTATTTCTTTTTACATAATCGTTTTTTATTTTATTTTATTTCATTTTTAATTACATTATATTTACTAATAAATTTCTTAACGCCTTATTATTCTTATCAGTGAAATCCTGGCTTACCAGTCATAGGACATGTCCTTTTACAGGGGTTCCAAATGTTGATCATATGATAATTTAGACGTCGATCATCTAATTTCATATAAAAAATTTTACCTTTGCTAAAGGTTTTTCCTATGATGACCTCAAATTCGTGAAACCATCCAACTATTGCTTTTTAAGTCAAAAATGTAGCTCGAACATTACTTTATTAAATTACAAAAACTCGATTCTTAATCTTCTCTAGTTCGAAGAAAATCTTCGGTTGAGTGTGGAGTATCCTAACCCATGTAATACATACGGTTCTGTTCGAAATTACAACAAACTACTTCCCCGACAGCTCAATTTCCTCAGCTCCACTTCCCTAAAACGATTTCTCAGCGATCTACTTCACTAAAAACCAGTTTCGTGACAACCTACTTTACCAACGATAATACTTGATCGGCTAGAGATTTCATGTTACATATATTGTAAGATACACCTGTTTTATACCTTTACTGATTCGACTTTTTTTTTTTTCTTTTTAGATTTGTTATTTCAGTGTTTAAGTTCTTCAAGTTCTTCAACCACAGATCTAAGCGGGATCAGGCGTGTAGTTTGTATTTCATGTGTAGTTCTCATTTTATATAATTACCTACATAATAACTAAAAGAACAAATAGCATACTCAAAGAATACCTATTAACGCATTCTTTTTTCTTGAGTTTCTTTTTCACAGTGCCTTCGCTTTTTTTGATTGCCGTAGCGTAGAGTGTCCAGAAATCTGCGGTGGCAGAATCTGCGCAGAATTCTGCTCTTGTCCTGCTCGCTGAATAATAACCTATTGGTGGACATAGCCTATTGTGTTTAAAATTATATTTTCTTTTTGTTTGATTTTTTTTCTGATTTTGTTTTTAAAGTATTATTTATACGTCACCGCAGAATCTGCAAATTTAACAGAAATCACAGCAGAATTTTTCAGTTAAAGCAGCAGAATTCTGGACACTCTACCGTAGCGGGTCAGTCGGGATAGCGTTTGAAAACACGGGGCGTCGCACTAAATCTAATTTTTAGGCTTGGGCTTTAATGGCGGCGGGTTAGTTAATGATTGGGAATTGTTGGATGAATTTGGATTAGTTGTCTTTTTTTTGGCTCGCATCCTTTATGCGTCATTGTTCCAAAATTTTTTTTTTCTTTCTATAATTTTTTTTTCATTTATTTTCATGATCATATTTTGTCGTTGGTTCGCATTCACATTCATTGTGTATTCGCATTTCTTTATGTAATTTATGTGATTTGTTTCATAATTACTTTTTTTAAAATAAATAATAGCAATGGGTTATATTGAAGTATAATACTGAACATCGTTTATTAAGGTGAAAAAGTTACATTAAATAAAACCTCAAACATAAATTATTTCATTGAATAAAAAGTGATAAAACTATTGTCTTCTCATTACATCAAGATTCATAAGAAATCGTTTGTGTAAAAATACCCTTAAAGTATAATGTATGGTTTCGAAATAATACCCATGTGCGCCTTGAAATAATGAGCACTCCGTGTAAGATCTTTAAAGCCGTGTATTAAATTCTTTGATGTAGTGAATTCTTTGTAAGTTAGCCAATCATATAAATG